CTGAATGCTTTGGAATAATAATAATAATAATGACCAGGAAACAAATAAGTTAATATTGGTTCCAATTTAATCGAAATTTATGCGTCAAACGTCAGGCAAACCAGAGGTATGTAATACCCTAAATAAGAAATCGCGTTAATTCCCGTTAAATAATATTAATTATCATGGAACGCGAAAGTTTAAAAGTTAGATTAGGTATTGTTTTGAATGCCTTTGTTTTTTCGTAGTGTTTTGTTAATTTTTTATAGTTGTTTATTGAATTGGTGCCTATATAGTTTTTGTTAGTAATAATAGGTATTTTGTGAATAGATAGGGATATGTTTTTTATAGTAATTTTAAATAGATAGTGTTAAATGACGAATTAACGAAGGCTAGCATGCATTCTTTCTGTAATAATATACTGTAATAATATTAGCATAAGCAATTAACATGCTAAGACATAAGAATTCGCAATCAATTAAAATTAATCTAACTAGCATTAATGCCTATTACTAGTGCACACCTACGTCACTTAAGAATCGTTTAAATTTCGTGCAGCATGAGGCGGAAGGGAGACCGGTTCATGCCAAACAGCGTTAACTAGTTAACCTTTGGAATTTGAATAAAAAATAAGTGTAAATTTAAAATTGAAATTCAGTAAGAGATATGGCAAAGCATTTCTTTAAAAATACTATACATGATTACATACAAATACACGAATATTCAAATATACCTATACCTATATATGTGCATTTCCACATTTTATGTTGCCGGCAACTCAAATTGGCCTACTATTAGCACACCAATAATCCCTGTCATTAAATTTATTATCTTACACACCGTTGGCAACCCTGACATGAAAATGTGATTTTCTGATAGCCTGGCACCAGGGCTACCTCAGATTGTCGGGTTATCCATTACTTACGACAGACCCTATAAAATGATGTTAATGAACCAAAAGGAAATAAAGTGAAACAGAAATAATTGTTATGTATAAAAACAGGTGTTTTTTTTGCATTCATAACAATATCATTAAATCCTATTCATGGGCCTTGTTAGAATATCTTTCAAGCAAAAAGTGCTTCCAACCATTTCACTTATTATAAAACTTGCTTAGATTAATAATAATAATAATAATAATCATTTATTTCAGGTATAAACCCATAGGCAAAAACACAAAATCATAAAAATCATAAAAACATAACATCATAAAAATCGTAAAAATCATAACATCATAAAAATCGTAAAAATCATAAAAATCATAAAATCATAAAAAATACACAATTATAAAGTCGGAATACTAAAATTAAAACAAAAAATAAAATAAAATTATTATCACCAGATTCATTACAATACAAAATAAATCAAAATTAGCAACAAGTACAATAAAATACGTCATTTACCTTTACAAATCGCATATTCTGTATCGACAACTACGATAAACCGCCTGGACAACTGAGTTGGCAGTACTTCTGATTCTAGTCATAAATGAAGCAGCCCTCTTTCGTAGCACTGCAAAGAACTTGTCTACCCTGTTCGCGGCGAACATGCCAGATGCACCACACCGCCACGGCAGGTTAAGCATGGCTCTAAAAGCGTTATTATATTGTACTCGTATTGCGTTGTACGTTCTCTGGGTGTAATTCCTCCATAAGCTACAGGTGTAAAAGGACTGACAGTACGCCGCGAACAGGGTGACTTTAACCTCCCTACTGCACCTAGCGAAACGGCGTGCTAACATATTACTCTTAACGGCAATAGACCTCCTTTGCCTCTCCATGTCATCATCGTCCCTAAGGTTATCCCTTATTACGTGCCCTAGATTTTTGAAAGAGGTTACGGTTTTAAGTGGTGTCCCGCCAATAGTAATTACTGGGTTAAAGCTGTTAGTTCTGTCGTGTCTAAAAATCATAACCTCCGTTTTGCCCGCATTATAGGTCAGTCCATGACTTGCAGAGTATTTTTCACAAATGTTTAATAATGTACGCAGACCTTGAACGGACGGGCTCAGCAGAACCATGTCGTCGGCGTAGCTCAAGTTATTGACAGGTTCATTTGTCATGTGACAGCCGACTCCAGACCGGCCGAGCTCCCCGATCAGACCGTTGACGTACAGGTTGAACAGAGTTGGTGATGTCAGCCCACCCTGTCTTACGCCACACTTAAGGGTATACTCTTTAGAAAAACCTTTATTGGCCCGTCTTACCACGTTACTCTGGGCACCATACCAGTACTTGAACAGTCCCAACAAGTCACAAGGCAAGCCAACCTCCTCCATCTTTGCCCATAAGATATTATAATTTATAGTCTCGAATGCACGGCTGAGATCAAGGAAGCAAGCGTACACACTCGTATTTTTACTGTTATAGTATTTTACCGTGTTTTTTAAAGCGAAAATAGCCATTTCAGTTGAGTGTCCCCCGCCGAACCCAAACTGTGCACTATTTATATTTATGTGATTTAATAATTCGGGATGTAATAGCCTCTCAAATATTTTTGACATAATGGACTTATCCCCCGACCCATTTTTTGGCACGGGCGCAACCACTGTCTTCATAAAAGTTTTTGGTAAGTAACAGTGGGACAGACATAGATTGTAAAATTTAGACATTAGTTCAAACAACAAATGACCACCATATAGGATATGTTCCACGCTCAGACTGTCGTGTCCAGGCGATTTCCCTTTCTTCATATTTTTTAAGCACTTAAATACGCTACATGGAGTTATACAAACTGGCGTTAGATAATGACTCGCCGATTCGTCGGCTTCTACTCGCCGAGTCACACTGCGACTGAGGCGACGACGGTAACGGTGTCGGTGGCGGCGGCGCCCCAGCGCCCCCCCCCAGCCGTTTGGAATTGCTGTGCGAACATCTCTGCTATTTCAGAAATATTGTGACTATTGTTGACTGTCACGGGCATTGCCGGTTTAAAAGATAAACCGGTTTAAATTGAAGTCACGATTTGACCTTCGCTCAGCAATTATATTCATTTTTATTTGATTAGCATTATTTTGACACCATCTTATTTTATTCTTAAATAACCTTCTAGCTGTACACATATTATCATACAGCACCCCCTGCGACGGCCTACCGTTTAGCAACCATAGTTGAAAAGCATGTCTTGCTTGAGTATATAATCCTTTAACGTGGTAGTTCCAACCCGTGACCCACGTCTTTTTATTGTTATTTCTGTTCTGTTAATAATTTCTTCATACATTTGATCTATTGAGAAGTTATGTACTTGGTCGCTACACGGCACGCCACCACAATGCGTACTTTACTTGGACACATTTATCTTACTTAAATATTCATTACAAAAATCTGTATATAGCTTGATTTGTTCATTATTCCTATTACCCCAAATAACCTGATTTCTTACAATATAGTTTTCAGTTAGACATCTTTTTGAAATTATTATAGACATGTTACATTCCACCACCAGTGGAAAATGATCAGACCAAGACACATCTGTGATAACATTTATATTTTTTACAATATTGAGGGCCGCCGAACAGTGGTCGAGCCAGCTAGAAGTACCGTGTGCTTCACTCAGAAATGTAAAGGTGTTAGAGGAGTCACCAAGCATCCTTACATCAGCATACACCCAGTCCTGATCTTCACAGTATGCGGATAGTTCGTTACCGAACATGCTTCCCATATCGGCGTTAAAATCCCCCAAGGCCACAGCGTACTCGGAGCCGCAATCTTCTATTATTGAACTCATCACACCTAGACACTCGGTAAACTCTGGACGATTGTCTATGCATTCTGTAGGCATGTACACTGACAGCACAATCATACATCGGTCCATATGAGATATTTTAATTGCTACGACGCGATTCGATGAAGACGGGATACGCACAACATTGTTAAATATTGACTTTCTCAATAGCAGGGCCACGCCACCGTATGGTCTTCCTTTCAGCGTTCCAGATGAAGTATCAATCGGAGACACAGCATGATAATCAAAGTCTTCGTGTATATTACCCAAAATTGCCAGGTCGTCAGGCAGCAACCATAGTTCTTGTAAGGAGATGATATCATAGGTATCACATAGTTGCCTCACATAAGGCATCGACCTTTTCACAGACTTACAGTTAAAACTAACGAGTTTCATATTATGATTTTCCATTACTCTTTACCCAAATTTGCTGTATGCAGTTGTATTCACAATAAAATTACAACAACTGCAGTTTTTGTGATTAATTTAATGTAGAATTAATTTAAACTATTAGTTTTAATTAAAAAAAAAAGGTTCATTGAGACTATCAAAAGCAAATCTTTAAATTTAAGATTGCAACCGGGCTTCATCATTCATCATCATCATCGCATCAACAGCCTTTGATAGTCCACTGCTAGACATAGGCCTCTCCTTAGAAAGGAAGTTTTGGCCACATGGTATAGTAATACCATGCTGGGGAGACTGGTTGGTATAGGGTTTGTGTCAAGTTTGCCTTCTCTTTGTAGTAATTTGGCCTGCGTAATTTGCTCCTTTTAGTCGGCTTTTACGACACCCACGGGATGAATACACGGTATACTGGGCTTATACCACAGGTGGTCGGATGCAACCCGCTCGTAACTAAAAATATATATTTATTTATTTATTCTTTATACACATATATATATAAGTAACAAGGAAATGTCATGTACAAAGGCGAGCTTAACCCAAAACTGAGTTTTCTTCCAGCAAACCCTGAGCGAATAGAGGACAACAAAGAAACGTAACACACACAGTCATGCGTACTTAGGAATCAACACAGAAGAGCATACAAATTAAACATAAAAAACGTATTTATAATTTAAAAAATATTTTTTAATTAATTATTTAAACATAGACACAAAACTAGAAGATGAAAGCATATTGCTCTGACTTCAAAAATTTTTTTGCTGATGATGTTTAATTAGCATAATAAGACATGTTAGTCAAATCTTTAACATTATAAAATTATAATAATAAAATTCCAATGAGACAAAACATATATTTTTAATATTATAATATTAATGTTAAATTATGTTTGATTACCTACTTTTTCCTTTTCGTTTCTTACATTTGTTAATCAACCAATCGTCGGCAAATATCTTAAAGTTACCATTATAATATGTTTCTATTTCTGTTAAAGATTTACCTTCTGTTTCAGGCATTAAGAAATAAAGGAAAAATGTGCCAAAGTAGGCAAATATGGCGTACGTTACAAATACACCGGTTAACCTAAATCTTCTTTCTAAGTCTATTAAAGTTTTAGCGCCAAGAAATGTGATCAGGTAGGCCCATGCAGCAGCAATCCCCTGACAGGAAGCACGGCTCCTGAAGAAAATAAATTAAGGAAATAAGTTGTGGTAGCGTAAGGATTTACAATACACCGTAATCGCACTTTGTACACAAACATTTAGCTTAGCAGGAGAGGTTAACCAAAATGGAGAGTACATACAAAAAGATTATTCTAAAATAGAAGTATATCCTGTGTCGCGGGGGACTTTACATACAATAATGAAACGGACACAAATGAATGGCCTTCCTGGGCAAGACAAGAAGAATAATTTGTGGATCACACAAAGTGATGTCCCATGTAGGGATCTAACCCATAACACTCAGCGCAGTAGGAAGCGTCGAGGTGACCGCTTAAACTACCACACCATCCGTGCAGTTGTAATGAACTTGGCTTGACGTAATGCACCGCGCCGCGATGGCACCCCGCCCTGAATACACCGTAATCTTAGCAGGAGGGGTTCACAAAAATAGAGAGTACAAGAAGAAGATTTTAATTTAAACTTTATATATTTATAAAGATACTGATCGTGGACTAAACTAACATTTTACTTTTAAAAAATCATAATAAATAGTGTATAATTATATACATATAGACTTTTTGGGATAAACTCACCTGAATGGAAAAACTTCTCCAAGTAAATTCCAGGGCAGACACATACCACTGAAGATTGTAAGTCCGTAAAAGAAAATTAAAGGTACTACACTTTTCTCTTTTGGGTAGCTGCTGGGGTCGTAGGAGAAGACATTGTCTTCCAAATGTGTGTAAGAGTAGAAAGCAAGGCCCGTACAACAGACGGCCGTTCCAAACATTGCAAAGATGCCAATCTTTCTTTTACCAAGGACCTTGATGGAGCCAATGACTAAAATACTTGCTAAGAATGTAAATACACCCACCATTACCTGTAAAAGATAAACTATTTTTGATAAAGTAAATAGAATAAAATCAAACAGCAAATAATTATTAGCAATGTATTTAAATAAAAATTTAAAAATTATCTATCAATTCCTATATTTAAAAAAAAAATCTCTGGTATTTATTACTACATAATTTTTGTATGATAAATAAATAAAATATAAAATAAGTCTTATTGCTGTAGGATAATTATGAAGGATAATTATATAGTTTAACATTTTAACTTTAAATAAAGCGTAATTCTAATTTATCATTAATTTTGGACCAATTATTCGGCAACCGGGTTTCTTTTACAGCTTGTCCTTCGACAAAGGCCTCCTCTAAAGCTTTCCATTTTATCCTGTCTTTGGCAATGCGTGTTCATTCTGGACCAGCCGTCCTTTTCATGTCATCTTCCCAACGCTCACTCTGTCTACCCTTATTTCTCTTTCCGTCCCGCGAGTACCATTCTGTCACTATTCGCATCCACTTTTCTGTCCTTTATCTTAGCATGTGTCCTGTCCACCTCTATTTTAGGCATTTGTAAACGTTACATATATTTTTGAATTTAGTTTTTCTTCTTAAGTTTTGTAGCCTAATCTTGTCTCTTTTTTTAACTCCAATAACGCTTCTTTCAATCCCATTTTGAAATACTTGTAATTGTTTATGTTGATGTTTAGTTAGTGCCCATGTTTGACATCCGTACGATAAGCATTGAAGGACACACGTATTGTAGACTTTTCTTTTCTCTTTGATAAGCATATCCCTGTCCTTCATGACTTCGCTCAAGGACCAAAACCATTTCCAGCTATTAGTTATACTTCTGTCTATTTCTTTTTGCATTGTGTTTTTGGTGGATATTAGTTGGTCCAAATAAATATACTCGTTGACGTACTCTATTTGCCCACCATTTACGTTGATTTCCTGTTTCATTGAGTTTGTCATTACCTTCGTTTTCGTAGTGTTCATTGACAGGCCCTCCTTAGCGCCTTCATCTGACAGTTGTTGTACCATGTTAAGTTCTCTGGATTCTTAGCAAACAGTACAATATCGTCTGCGAAAGGTAGATGGCTGAGTTTAACACCGTCAATGTTGAGTCCATTTCTTTCCCATTCTAGGCTTTGAAAGATCATTTCGAGAACCGCAGAGAACAGTTTCGGTGAAATAGGATCGCCTTGTCTGACGCCTCTTTCGATGGGAAATTCGTCTTCTATCTATTCTAGCTTGACTTGGGCCGTACTCTGTGAGTAGATATTCTTTAGTTTTCGATCGTATTTGGCCTCATCTCGCTGACTTTTTAGTAGCCTCCAGATGCTATCATGATTCAAGGAATCAAACGCTTTATTGAAATCAACGAACACAATATAATAGACCTTGTTGTATTCCTTTGGTCTATTATCGAAAACTTACTTAGAAAGCCAGTCTGCTATTTGGGTTGGCTTTCATTGAGCGTGATAGCAATTCCTGATAGAATCTTTGAAAGAGTTTGTAGATATTCGACATTAGACTGATTGGTCTATAGTTGTTCATATCACCTTTGTCTCCTTTTATGCGTATGAGTATTATAGTTGATTTAGTCCAATCGCTAGGAATACATTCGGTGTATAAAATGTCATTAAATGGTTCCGTAACTTGGGGGCAATCACCGGTATAGTATACTTTAATATCTCGTTTGATATTTGATCTGAACCTTGCGCCTTGTCCTGTTTCTGTGTGTTGATTGCATTTACCGTTTCTCTTAAGTATTTTGAGTATTTTATTGGTACTGATTTTGAGTCTGCTGTTATTTGTTGTTGTTTTTCTACTGGTGCTATCGTTTGTCTTTTTTATTATACTCTGTAGTAATCTGTGGCGATTATCTCTTAATATTTACTTGTAGAATTTCCATTTCTGATTTTTATGTTTGGCATCCATATTTTCTTTCGGTTTAATTCCTTTAAAGCTTTTTATATACCTCCGGTTTTTTCAATAAATAATAGTAATAAGTTTTTATTTTCCTATCTTCTCTTATGTGTTCGGTGGTATATTTTTAGTTGATGTATTCGTTTTCTTGACTTCGGTTGTGAGTGTATGTATTATATTGTCGTAACGTTCCTGAATTGATGTATAGTTTGTTTTTATATTTCTGTTCAATTCAGTATTTGGATTATCCAGGAGTATATCTTTATTTCCAGTAAATATAGGGGTTTTGTTCTTATTATACTGAGCGTATCTACTTTTTTGCACTTGTTTGCCTGATATTGATGTTCTTACTATTCCATGATCTGTATGGAAGTTGTGTTGGTTTATAATATTTACCTTGTTAAATATCTTTCGATTATTGGTAAGGATAAAGTCTATTTCATTTTTGTACTTGCCATTGGGTGACATCCATGTCCATTTCCTCGTCTTCTACTTCTTAAAAAAAGCTAATTAAAATGCACAGTTTTCCAATGCAGAAGTGACTAATATTTTCGCATTTTTACTTCGGTTGCCATGCCCATATTTTCCTATTATATATTCCTCTCCTTTATAACAGAGACCAATTTCACCATTTAAATCTCCTATCACGATAAGGTTTTTATATGAAAACTGTATGGCTGATTGTAGATCTGCATAAAATTTATCAGTTTTTATATTATCTTCTCTGTTTTCTGATTCAGTCTGGGAATATGCTTGAATTATAGTTCACATTTTTTCTGTACCTTTATGTGTCGGCAATTTGATGTTAAAGACTGCTATTTTTTCATTGATTGCTCTAATTTCATTTATTTTATTTGCTAAATTGTTTTTGATGAAGAAGCCGACCCCGTATAATCCCGGTGTTTGGACTAATCCCACCCACACGCCCACCAGTGTAACTCCTGTACACCAGGATCCACAGCAGTGACCCACGAACACACCGAGTTATGACACTCGGGAAGTCCCAGGAAGAAATTAAACTGTCTTGGAACCCGCAACGAAATTAATTAGAAGAAAATTGGAGGAGTTGGAAATACAGTAAATCCACTTCCCTCAAGTGATTTTGTCTTCAATTCCTTCACCGTACTCTCATTTCGCTGATACCAATTATGTCCCATTTGATGTTATTTATAGCTAACTCCATTTCCATCAATTTTTCAGGTGTACGCAATGATCTCGTATTCAGGGTCGCTATGTGTATATCCGACTACTTTCTGTTTTGTTTGCTTGTTTCTTCATTTATTTCGCTTGGAGGGTCGTGGTTATTTTTCCCCACGAGGACCAGTCGGCTTGGGAGGGTGTTTTGTTCTTCAGTTTTTCGATTTTGTTATTAACATATTGCTTGATTTTCCGCTATCCGTTCGTTAATTGCTATTGCTTGGTGTTGGTTGGACTGTTAGAAAGAGAATTTGATCTATTTCTCATTCGTTCGAAGGCGTTGGTTCTGTTGTCTTTCGATGCACGTGTAATTTATTTTTTCGGTTGGGTATTGGTTTGCCGTGACGAGGAGGTTTCTCTCTTACGTTTTTATTTGCTTTTGTTTTCTTTTACAATAAGTTTGTCGTACTTCAGATATGCAATATTACCCTTTTGTCTTTCTTCTTCCAATTTTGCATATAGGTCTTTCTTTTTTTCCATGACTTCTTTTGAAATTTTTATATATCGTCCCAATATACTCTTTAATTCAGATTGTAAATTTCGCGTAACTGCAAAATGCTAGTCAATCAAATCTCATTTTGAGTAGTTTTTAATGATATTACAGAAATGAAAATATAAAATTTGACTATCCTGTTTGTGTAGTGGTTAAGGATCTTGATTGCCAAGCCAAAGGTTATGGATTTGATATCCACCCAGGACTAATGATTTAGTGATGAGCTCGATCATAACGTTCTGTATCAAATCTGTCGCAAATATGTATATGTTTATTTAGAATCATTTACATATGTTTGTCAGCAGTTGGTCACTTTAGCATAGGCTCTACCTAGTTTGGGTTGAGACGGCCGTGTTGTTATTTATAATATCATGGTATTATTTATGATGAGAATCATGATTTTCATTCATTTTTTTATAAAGATAGAATACATAGTTTGTTGTTAAAAGCTGTTTTACATTACTTTGGTTTGAACTACAGTGCAGAGCAGTAAGCCGCCTTTATTAATTTGGTAAACATTTCAGACCTTAAAATAGTTCAAAAAATATTTAAAATCCTACAAAATCTCAAATTGCAATCTCCTTAATTACCTCTAGAATCTTTTAGTTAGGCACATTCAGTCAGGCTCAAAGGATGATGTTTGGAATTTAGAAAATTGTTTGCCACTAAGTTTTTTATGTATAAAGTTACTAGCTCATACTTATTTTTACTATTTCTATAGAATATTATGATACACAAGGTACAGCCTGCTAACACCTGTCGGTTAATGAACAAGATTTATGCAATACAGGTATTTTCAACAAACAATAAAAAATTTAAAAATTGACCACACTCTTTAAATGTGTTCTTCAAGGAACGGAATACCCGTGTACACAATTGACTTGTGAACTATGTTCGTGTAATAACTTTAAAGATATTTTATAATAACCGACTTCAAAAACAAAAACGAGGAGGTTATCAATTCGTCTTTTTTTTTAAATGTTTGTTATCTCCGTCAATTGTGGACCGATTTTGAAAATTATTTTTATAATCGAAAGGGTATGCTCCTGAGGTGGTCCCATTATCACCAAATCAGGATCTGATAATGGGAAACCCTCAAATTTAACATCCCCGACAGTTTGTTTTAGCTTATTTCTCTAGTTTCTTAGCTGATGATGGAAGGATCCTTGACCTTTAGGAGTTAGAAAATGACTCTTTCAAAAATCCAAAAATGTATTGACCTTGTCACATTATTTATTACCTTGTAGTATATAAACAATATATTCTCAGGTTCAAGTGTAACATCTTACTACCTTATCTAAATAAAGTAAAGGACTTATTAAACTATATTTAATATAATCTAACATACTACAGTTTGGTACTATACATTACGGTACGAAGTGTTTTAAATATCGTACTTATCTACTCATTACAAACATATCTTACACTAAAAAACTTGAATCGACTTCGAACAAAACTGACAAAGCGCACTAAAAATTAAAAAATGCACCAACTTCAAACAGACTAGTATGTTAATGTTTGTTTGTTATTTTTATTACCTTAACGAACGATTAACTTTAACGATTTTGATAAACATACATTACTCACTTTACGAATCGGGTGGATAAAGGTCAAGAACGTTCAGGATTTTCTTTAATTTGGTAATAAATTTGCCATACTTCGGCACATATTGGTTTCACGGTTTATTTTCTAAATATTATTTATACTCACCACAATTCTATCAATATTTTCAGCCATGCCCATTGCTTTGCACACGTTCACCATGTATGGCTTGATGGGATACAAACCACTCATGATGAAGAACAAGAAGTATGATAAGCAGAAGAATAATGGTCGTAACGTCTCTTTACAGAGCATTACAATTTTGAACCTTAAAAAGGACCTGTGAAGAAGAAGAATTGTCAAAATTATGCTACTGATGTAGTTACATTATTTTTTGTGTACCGTACCCTGACCTGTGTAACCTTACTTAGCTCGAAATGCTGAAAGCTGAACAGGTCAATGTGTAACTACCCAGTATTGATTTTAGTATAAATGAGCAGTTGATTGTGGATAATAAAATAATATTACTATTATGGCTACTAATAATATCAATACTGGATGTATTGATATTATTAGTAACCATGATATTATTAAGTCCACCAATGCACCAAATGTGCATGGTGTGTAAATAAATAAAATTACATAGATAAGTTGTATTTATATAATTAAAGGTTGTATACCACCTCATACAAATGAGGTGGTAAATATTTGGTGGCCACTGCCTCCGCCCTAGGGCGACTTTTGCCCAATTTGGGCGGGGCCAGTGTTCCCACGTGTTGTACGCGGGGGTTCTCCGGTCCATTGCGCTTTATGGTGCACCGGGGTGGGTGGCGGCTCTGACTGCCCGGAATAGGGCGCGCCTCTGGCGCCCCCAGAGGATATTGGCCCCCAGAGGCGGCTTGCGCCTTGGCCGGAACACCCCCGTGGGATTTGGAGGCGGAAGTGCTCGCCGAAGTTTATCGGCGAGTGGCTGACTTCCGGGCGGAGAGCGGATTTCGCCCTCCGCCCGAAGACGTGCGCGAGTGGCGCGAGGCCGCTCGCCGAGCCACCATGGTCAGATGGTCGTTCCGGCTGGAGACTCCACCGCGCTGGCTTCGCCGCCGTGGAGGCTTTCCAGCCGGTCATCGCCTATTGGGCAGGGCGGCAGCACGGGACCCTTTCTTTCCGGCTGACGCAGGTGCTTTCCGGGCACGGTTGCTTCGGAAAGTACCTGTACTCGGTCGCTAGGAGGGAATCGAGTCCCGCCTGACACCACTGCGACTGCAGTGAGGACTCGGCCCAGCACACGTTGGCGGTCTGCCCCGCATGGGCGACGCAGCGCCGGGCCCTCACTGCAGTCATCGGAGCAGATCTCTACCTCTACCGGCCGTAATTCGCTCCATGGCCGGTAGCGACAGTTGTTTTACCGCGGTCGAGGCGGCGGAGAAGGCCCGGGAGGACGACCTGATTCGCCGCCGGCGAACCGGGCGGCGGAGGCGCGCTCACCTGCGCCTCATGCCGCCCTGAGTGTGGCCGCGGGTGGACGGGATGGGTTCTCCCCTCCACCCACATTAGTTGGCCAGCCGCAAGGGGCGGCGTCCGCGTGTGCCGGACGTTGCCTAAAGAGAGGAAAGTTTTGAAACGGAGCCCGCAACAGGAGCGGGCCGGCGCTGGGAGGGGTCCAGAAGGCGATAACTACCTGGACCCCTCCTAAACTGGAAGCGCAGAGAGGGCACACCGTGTGGTTTTAGTCGGTTCGAGTCCGACATACCGCCCCGTCGAACAAGAGCCCCGGCGGGGTGACGGTCCGAGGGGATTTCCACACGTAAAAAAAAAAGGTGGTAAATATTTGCATTAAACATGTCAAACAATGTACACCGCCCTGTAGTGCACTCTCCCCCCTTCTATGGAACATTGTTGTGGATGAACGTTACATGCGATCAACACTGGAGGTGGCTCTGGGTCTGCCCCCACTAGATTTATTCATACAGCAGAAGGCCGCCATGGCGATCTTTAGACTCAGACACCTGGGCCTATGGCATAAAAGTGAGGGATCGCACTCCAAATTATGGGATCAATTTTTGGAATACGAACCACTAATAGCAGCCCCTTGCGATAGAATCCCAAAACACCACATCTTCAGAGAAAGATACCACATCCAGATGCAAGAAAATGACCGTGATCAATCCGGTATTAACGAAGACCGAATTTACACGGACGGTTCCATGACTAGGTCAGGAACTGGAGCCGGAGTTTTCTCGCAAGAACTAAATATGAACATATCACTAGCGTTAGGCCAACACAGTTCCATATTCCAATTCGAACATGTGGAAATAACTTACGCTGGCACAACGGCCATGTCAAGGAGTATCAAGGACTATAACATCCGAATACTATCCGACAGCATGGCCGTCCTAAAGGCACTAGAAGGCAACACAATGACCTCTGGTATTGTCTTCAAATGCCATCAAGCATTGGAGCAGCTTGCCACATTAAATGTGGTACTCCTGCAATGGATTAAAGGGCACAATAACTCACACGAGAATGATGCCGCAGATGAGTTGGCAAGGAGGGGCTCGGCAACCCCAGCTACCGGCCTAACCATACTCCTACCAATACCGTTTAACCAAATACGATTCTGGACCAGGAAACGGACTCGTGAAGCACACAACCGGAGATGGAAAAACTCACCCGGCTGCAGACAGTCCACACTGGTGCTGACTCAAGTCACACCACGACTCACCTGCAGATTGATTAGTCTTAGCAGACTGGAAATCCGAATAGTTGTCGCAACTATAACAGGACACCTAGCCCTGAACCGACACCTTTTCATCATCAATGCGACGGACAGCTCTCTGTGCAGGGGTTGTCTGGAAGCAGAAGAAACGGTCGCCCACGTAGTCCTGGAATGCGAGGGAGTGGCCACACAACGGGCAAGTATCATTCCCGATACAAAATCGCTCCTAGAAGCCTGTGAACGCCCCAGGAGGTTTCTGCGGTTCTGGAAGGAGCTTGGTTGGTTCACCTATCTAACCAGTCCTCGACGCAAAAAGGACCACTTTTGAGTCTAAATGCGGTCTAAATACCATGTCAAATAATACTTACCTCTTTATTACAGTCATTTTATCGTGTTCGCAACTAGTTTCCGCCTTTTCTTGAATTTCACCATTTTGTTCATACATACATATTACACAATGATTTAAAGCTTTTGCATAGTTAACAAGTTCTTCGAACTCTTCACTGACATTCTCGGGTTTAGTCCACCCTCGAAGGTAGCAAAGTGACTTTAAGGCTTCTTTCTCTCTCTCTTGAGACAATAACCATACTGGCGTATCTGGTACCTGTTGATGCATATGCTATTACAGTTTTTTAAGCATTTTTTTACATGGTGCCTTATTCTTGATGCTGCCCATCTACGACCACTTCTTAGGTAAAAATGTATGAAGCCTTAGGCTTAAAGTTTATTACTCACCACGATTATTGCTAAAAGCATAGTAGTTACCGGAGCGCTAAGACAAATAAGAGCTGCAATTCTCCAGTTAACAACAGCACCCAAAGCATACAATCCAGTTACACCAAAGGATAGAAACAATTGTGTTATCGTACACAGGGTTCCACGGATTGATGCATCGCTGAAATTTAAAAAAAAATACTGTTTCCTATTATTTTATTATGTTATATTCTTAAGTTACGTATAGGCTTTTTGATGTACGATTCTAGTTTTCAGTAATTCAAAAGTAAAAATGTTTTTCACACCAGCAAAGACGATTTATTTGGCTCCTTTAGTTAGTAAATAGTTTGGCTTTAATACTAATAGCACGTTGGTATTTAATGATATCAAAAAAAAATTGTGAATAATTCTCATGTAAGGATAATATCTACAATATGTTCATATTTGTGTTTATTCTTTCTTTTTAGTTCAATCCGATCCATATTACGATACGTAATATTTAATACTGGCAGAGTCCGAAGCAATCCTGTTAGACAATAGTAAAAAGACTACGCAATATTGACATAAACGATAATACTATTAAATTGTCAGATTTGACAAAACAAAACAACAACTTAATGACAATTACTGACCTGATTTCGCTAACATACGACATGATTGGTGCCTCCATTACTCCTGTTCCAATTCCCAACAGTGCATTTGCTGCAAACAAGCTGGGTATATTCCACGCATAATACATAAGAATCCATGCTATTACATGGGGAATATTTACTATAAACGTGGCCTTTTTTCTACCGAAGTAGTCCACGACAGGTCCTGATATCAGGGCCCCTATAGGTTGAGTTAAGAATGACAGACTACCTGAAAATACATTATTAAATAAAAAATCGATCTCGTTGGTACGCTGTGGGGCTCCTCCTTAGGACTCCTTCCTTATTCAGGGGTGGATTTCTATTCACGTACAAAATTTATGTATTTAGTTTGTTAATCGTTGTATTTTATACTAAACATTAGTGTAAGATACAATGTTACTAACACAATATTGATTGATTTTGTCCGAAATAAATAACTTGAATTTGTTGTTTGTGGCTTAGATTTAAGACCTGGTATTCTGGTATTAAGAAATTAGGTCTTAATTTTTACACGGTAAGCTTAAGAAAAAGCAACAACTGGACAGAAATTTAAATATTTTACCATATTCCTTATGAAATTTTTGTATAAATATAACTAGTCAAAGACAAAACAGTTTACCTATAACTTTTTCATCTATGTTTGTCATTTTTTGAAACACTTCATGTTTATGTGTAGAAAAAGTGCACAACGCTTAGGTTTTTAAATATTATGTGCTGCCAATGAAATAAAACCAATGGTACTTGAGCGCTATTGCAACGGGCAATTTCTGGTACATTTTATAAAATGACAATCGTAAATAAATAAATATATATATATATATATATATATATATATAGCGTATGTAGTCCAATATTTAAAACTTTTGGAGAGTTTTGATTAGAATATATGAAATAGAGTAGAATGGGTGTTACCCAAAACAACGTTTACGTCTTACAGTTAAACGTAAAGACGAGAGACACGTAAACATTCTTTTGAAATCAAAACATAATTGTGTGGTCTAACAATCGTTAACAATAATAAAATGACGGTTTTTATAGTTTTTCGTGATATATGGACGTTCATCATGTCGAAAAAGTAAACAGACGTTTCCAGGTATATTTTACACATAGGCGTAAAATTAGTGTTGCAACACACTCTAATGGTTAGACAATAAAAATACAACTTATTTCATTTTATAATTAAAGAGAAAATCAGAAAGTCAATAGCATCACATCATGTAAGAACAACACGAACTCAGCTTACCAAACCATGAGGCCTGATTATCATTGAGGGAAATACCTTCAGGCGCGTTGAGAAGACTAGGTATTGCTATGGTGCCGAAACTAATAGCCATGCCCAAATCAAGTAGAAGAAAACTCGGAGCCAAGCTTGCTATCAACTGAAACATTGGGTAACTATAATTAGTGCGATTTTGCTAGTCCTGCATGGTTACTGACGTGCCTTTCTTTTAAAAAATATTAAGGTTAGTTTCTTATTGAAACAGTACGTTTGAAATTTATACGACCACGACTGCGAGAAGAAGTTGACATTGTTTAATATATAAAGACACAAGAATACACGTTGTGTACAGTTGTACAATATGTTTAGTTAAACGTTTTCGTGCACGAACGTTTTTCTATCTAGTTAGTAATTCGGCTATTGCTATATTCTGACTGTAAATTTGTATTAGTTCAGTAATCGTCAATTGCGTATGCGACACCGTGGATGATAACTCAAACCAATATCAAAATTAGTAGAAGCGTTATTGGACAGCTGCAACAAATGTTTGTCTATTCTTACCTATCATATTTTGATTGTCATTGTAGCCTGTAAAATCGAATACACGGTGTTTTTTTAGCTGGACTTATTTACTTTCATTAATATGTCAAAACAAGCCCTTTATCAAATGGGCTTATCACATTCACTTAAAAATAAAAAATAAGTAAAATTTAGATTTAATAACGCTTGCGCATAAAAATAATGTGATATTTTATAAATACAACATTTGTTTTTCTTTTTAAAGCAATTTTAACCCAATTATGATAAATGAATTTACTCAAATTTAAACGACAAATTCAAAATCTTCGATTCGATTTATTTTATCTTTCGTTTATTTTTTTAGTTTTGAAACCTCATTTTAATGTCCTTTTAAGTTATTGAAATCTATATTAAGTTTTTAGTACTGGACTTGGACCAAGGCGAGTTTTATAATCCGCTTTCTTTGACCGGAGTTCTAACTTATCTCTGAGGACTTCATACTGTTTTACAGTAATTTTTTTGACCACGTTGTTCTTAGACGCCGTTATTCCTACCTTCCTCTTTTATTCCTTATTATCGTATTTGTTTATCTGGTATACCTACTGTATGTTTGTTTGAGCTTCATTTCTATTTAATCAGGTACCTAAAAAACATAAGCATATTCGTGACATTCAAAATACTTTTATGCTCATATGTTAGTATGTCGAATCAAAATATGAAATGAACAATAGCAGAGTGGTTTGAAAGTTATGAGTAACTGCTATACAACGAGATTATTTATAAACGCTAGTAGAAATGACTGACTATGCGTAAAAACTGAACTTATGGCTCACTAACTGCGAAAAAGACATTTTCTTCTCCTATTCCTCTTGTTTTATCTAGTTCATGTCTTATAAATAAGAAACAATTTTTGTAAGTACCCATAAATTTTAATTAATTTATACTTTATGTCAATACAGTATAGTGAAGAGGGCAAGAGAGCAAATATGGGCAGCTAGACATAGCATAGGTAGGTGCCTTATATCTGCCTAAAACCTGCCACCTAGACACCAACTAAAAAAATGGAAATTCCTGAATCGCTTACGTACGAAGTTTGATGGTTGCAGAATATTTTTATGTCTTTTATTACAAGATGTCCAATTCATTCTTAGAAATCAAAAACAAATCATATTAGTTTCGATCCCCTGGAATGCAATTATTGGGATCCTCTGTTATTTAATTATTAGGTATGTTGCAATCTAGCCATCATTATCAGACATAAATATAACATAAAGATAGATAATGAAAAAACAACAATTAAATATACAATTTTATTAGAATGTGTTAATTTTATTAGAATGGGTTAACTTTTAAGATTAGTTAGTTTACCGAACCAAAAAAAACAGGAAGAATTTGAACAGATGATAACAAAACTCCTAGTGGTGCAAGTTGTCGTTACTGCAATTATAAAAAAAAAGCACATCGAGTAAAGAACCTTTAATCACACAAGACAAGGCCGGTTAAACCTTGGTGATCTTGTTTGTTTTTGTCTCCATAACATAAAACATCTACTATTTAAGTAACGTCTCAATTATTCGGTTCGTAGTGACAAGGCGTTTTATATTGTTCTACCTAGTCAATTATATTCACTTAGTTGTATAAAAAAAGACATGATTGTGTAGTGTATTTGGTGATAAAGAATGATGTTGCCTTCCTACATACTTCTATTAATATGCATTGACAATGACGGCCATTAAAACAAAAATAATCTACTGTAAATAAACCAAACAGTGTATGTGCTTCTTGCCATTAATCAAGTTTATTAAATTTTAATCCTCTAGAGACACACACATTCATTGTGTCCACTTTTTGGCTGCCACGAGCACAACAATCGTATAGGCAACAGCGATCTGATAATCAGTGATCTGCCACAAACTCTTTGTCACTAGAAATGTATTATAGGTAGATATGGCGACCGCAGTCTGGACTGAATGATACAGAGTTGAAAGTACGTTAGGGGTTTGGGGTGCTAGCACTCATATATATGTACATACATTTATATATATATATTATAATCCTACCCCTTTTAAATCCTATTAATGAGACCCGCTGAAGACCAGTTATTTACAGTCTGTTGTCAACCGTGTCACTGATATTCACGAATCATCAAGCATCGGTCCAATGGGGTTTTGTATAGATATAAGAGGTTTAAAAACCAAAAATGTACTATGATAAATTCTTCCAAATACTCCTGTCTTTTCCCCATTATTTACGAATGCAAAACTTCACAATTTGAGTCAACAAATTGCATAGAAGATGAAGAAGATCAAACAATATGTGTTTCGTAGTAGAGATTATACATATACTTGAACACTAAATTATTATTTAACTGGTTTCTATATTGCGGTTGACTTACTTTAATGGTTTTCGTTTATTGTGCATGTGATTATATTTTGACTGGATAGTAAAATTGTTGGTAATATTTCAAGTAAGTTAATTGTTTTTCGAATTGATAAGTATGCAGTAAGTTAATATTATTTAACGGGAATTAACGCGATCTCTTATTTAGGGTATTACATACCTCTGGTTTGCCTGACGTTTCGACCAGGAGTCAGCCTGTGACCACGGCCGGTGCCGTTATATATATTATATTAATTATCATGGAACGCGAAAGTTTAAAAGTTAGTATGCAGTAAGTTATCAGCTAATACTTATATTGATTTGATGTTGAATTTAAATTTGGCTTTTGAATGTTTAAATACGTCTTAATTAAACCATACAATATATGTGTGTGTGTTACTGTTACTTGATACTGCTACTACTAGTGTCCCACTGTTAAGAAAGTTAGTGATTTAGGTTTGATTTGTATTTTTCAACACTATTAAAAATAATAACTAACTAACTATACATTAGGTAAACATAATACAAGCGATACAACTCATATAAAAAACGGTACTGTAAATTATACTGAAACAGTTATCTATTAATGGCCCTACAAATTCAATTAGGAAATCACAAGGGTTTTACACATATTCTCACTGAAAATAACCTATTAAATTTTTCAGTGATAAAATTCATAACTAAATAACGTCTTAAAAATAGGTGCAACACAAATTATTAAGAAGTTTGGCATTTAAATTAACGAATAGTACCTTAATCATGCTTGTCGATACTACCGGGAAGCGAAATCAGCTTGTCAACTTACCTGTGCAGTAATTGATCGTATTCGACTTACTGGCAAATTAATTTCACAAAATTTGAACACCATTTTAATTACACTTAAACTTTTCTGCACCTGTTATACAATAAAACTATCAAATCACTATAAATCTGTTTTATATGATGCTAACGATACATTTTTTAAATTAGTAATTTCTAGTAGTTTTTCTACGAAAATGTTAGTCAATTTTATTTTCATTTATGCGTGTATTTATTAAGTGTTTAATTTTCCTGTGCGAAGGTAGACACTACGGACTTGTTCAGCTGAAGTGAGTTAACTGTAGTTATGGCTATTAGATCAATGTAAGCCTCAATCCTACACAATGAAACCGTCTCCATCGCCCGTTAAATTACTCATTGTCATCCACATGAATGTAAACTTATAACAACTTAATAACCATAGCGATGAGTAAAGTTTTTCATGGTTTCAATATTTAGTTTCCAATTTGTTTTTTTTTTGCTTTAAGTATATAATTTTAAATTACACATTATTATGGATTCGTATGTAATTATGTATGTATATTTAGATATATTTATATCTACATTCCTGTATTTTGCCCCTTCTCTTTTCTTTGTGTGCACGACGGTATTTCTTGATATTTAGTTTTTTTTTTTTTACTTTGGAATTCCTAACTAAACTGTAATGCAAGTGATCACTAATTTCAAGACAGGTAGAAAATGCCTATGGCATATAAGTCCACCGATTGCCCAGAGGCGTGCCCTATTCTTGGGGGTCAGAGCCTTTCCAGATTTTTACACGAAAAATAAACAAGGTTTATTTCACATCAACTCTCTCTCGACAGCGAGCGTGTTTGGCGTTGGGATTGGGACAGGACGTTTAAAAATAAGTTAGCTAAAATGTTTTTTTAATCTGAAACAATCGTAGCTACATAGTGTGTATCTGCGGTATTAAATTTAAAATAACGTAGCAGAACTTCTTCTCATCAGATTTAATGTTCGATAGCGTGAACTGAGCATCCATCTGTGAGAACCATAGTGCTGGGTTTTCTGCGTAAAATTGCGGTATACGCACACCTACACTAAAAGTTTCGCTATCATATACTATATTAAGTTGTACCGTCTAATCCTCCTAACTAATCCTCCGTCGTGACATTATGGCGCTTTATCACAGTCAATAAAAGTTTTATCTAAACACAATAAAAAGAAAACTGAAATAAGACACACGGAAGATAAATATTTGTCAAAAAATAGCTAATCTAAATATTAACTTGATGTGACCAACATCAAGAATTAAAAATAAATACAAATATTTAATATTTTATTAAGGTTTTTAGGTCAATGTTGTTTTATTATTTTATTTTAAGGGTAATCTTGTAAGTATCATCAAACTTGGGTTAAGAACTGTGATGCCTTAAATTTGTTTGCAAATCGACTTCGCTCTGAAATCATAACAAATGCGGTTAATATTTATTCATTTTATAAATCATATAT